GTAAAATTTATTAATCATTTATATCTTTTTTATTTTAAGTTTTTCGTTTGTCCCATATACAATAGAACGATATTTTATTTTTTTATTGCAACAAAATTAATTTTCATCATTTATATTTTTTACGAATTTTAATTATCTCGTTTGTTTCATGCAAACAATATTTTTAGTATATATATATATTTTTTAATTAAAAAAAAAAAAAGAAAAGAAAATTGTCTTTTAGGCAGTAAATTCAAATAGTTTTCGTCGAATTTGAACAAAGTAAAAAACATCGATAAAGCATCGTATATATATATATATATATATATATGACAAGGATGTAAATAAAAGTACCGAGAAACGACAATCGAATCCTCTTCGTAGAAAGCGTTGTTTTATCGGAGGGAAAAGAGTGAGGATACACAGCAAAGACCAGGATAAGCGAATGAACGAGCGAGTTCTCGATATGAATATTAAACGTATCGCGAGTTTTCGTAACTACGTATCGAGAATGCTTCTTTCTCTCTCATACTACGCGTTAATATTCTCCTTGGTCTCGTGAAAAATGATTTTCGAGGACGAGATTAAAAAAAAGGAAGAAAAGAAAAAAAGATATTTATAAACAAAATAAAAATATAAAAAATATTTAGACGACGACGAAGACGAAGACGAAGACGAAGACGAAAACGAAGACGATGACGACGAGGATCGAACGATTTCGTAGAAACCATAATCAAGTTACAGCGGACAAGTTTCAACATCGTTAACACTAAATGTATTACACGACCCCGTTCGTCGAATTAACAATTTATTCATTTCTTTTTTATTATTTAAATTCTCTATACAATGTATTTAATAATTAATACAATATGACGATGATAAAACAACAAAAGGTGACGAAATTCTTTGACGTACCTTTTCTAAATATTAATCCGTCAAATTTATATATTTTATTCCTTTGACTGTTATTAACGCATATATGCGTTTGTCAATATGAATGTAAAATAATGTAATATTAGTTTGCGTATTAATTATTGTTTTGAATCTTGTCACATGTAAAAATGTATATTTTAATATAAAATATATTTAATATAATTAATTATTAAATATAATTTATTATTATAGAATCTTTATTATAACATAATATCGATCAACAGGAAACAGTCTAGCCACTAATAATAAATTATTCCATCTCTACAAAATACACTTCAGCTTAAAGTATTCACCAGCCCACTCAAACAGTTAATTCAAGTCATAAAAAAAAAAAATAAGGTTGATTTTATTCTGATTAAGAATATCGAAAAAGTGACGAACCGAAGTATACGGAACGGAACGCGTTATATTACAAATATATATTATTTTTATCGAGAATGGGGAGGAGGGGAGGGAGTGGGGTGGCCGTTCGTAAAAGATAATAATGAATGCATTGTTATCGATAGAGTGCATTCATTGGCTTGTAGTACGAGAAACATACATCCAGGATAAACTAAACGCGACGTTTTCAAATCGCGTCGTCCTGCTGGTAATTGGCTGATCGCAAAATTGCATTTAGATCGAGAACGATTATCGTTCGGCAATCGACATGGTGCAACAGGATCGACAGAGGAAGAGAGATAGAGATAGGGAGGGAAAGGGTGAGGGAGAGTAGGGTGTAGGGTGTAGGGTGAGAGGGAGGAGAGATAGGGTCGATCATTTGTGAGCTTAATCGTGCTTGAAATTCCATCGCGATGTTTCTGGGATATGGCAGGGAGGGCAGCAAGCAGCACGTTTATTATCGAATAGAACGATATCCAAGCTTCAAACAAATACCATAAATGATTTGAACCTTTCATTCCAATACCAAACACAACACTGTTATCACAATATCACAATATATCGCAAATTCCTTGTTATTTGTTCTATCTTATTATTCGTTATTTTCTTTTTTCTTTTTTTTTTAATTCTTCGAATTAATATCGCGACAAACAAAAAAATTTGTGTAATTAAAAAACATTGATTAGCGCGAGCAAGCAATCTTTGAATTGAGAAACCATTGTATTTAAATGATAATCGAAACACGAGAGATGTGAATATTAATCGAATGAAATGTTGAAAATAATAACAACGAATGTTATTTTATATAGACAATCATTAAAAATATATTTAATCGAGGAAAAAACAAAAGTTGTTTCTATACGCAATATTCTAAAAAAAACATAAAAGTAAACTATAGAACCAACGTATTACTTTTTTTGTTTTGTGTTTAACATGCAAAAAATTATATTAATAATTCATAATAAAAGTTGGCTTTTCCATTGAAACGATGCAACTACTCTCTTTCAAAAGATTACCGAAGATAAAATCAATAATTAATAATGCTTCATACGTGGTTTACCTTTTATAATGTCACGTGTGTGAACTGAATGGAAGGTGAAAGGTGAATAAGATAAAAAAAGGACAAGAAAAAAGGGTGAGAGAAAGAAAAGGTTGAAGATCCGTATTATATACGTATATTATAATATATATACATATATATATATACGTTCGTGGTATGTAGGTATAACGTATAAAATAATAATCGCAAAGGCAAATGGCCGTTCTTCGAATGCGAGAAGTTGCGCACGAGAAGCGCATGTGGGAGCACTTTTCCACGAAGCCCCCGTGTGTCAGTTACACCTACGTAAGGTCGCTGCGCTTCTATATGTATATACATGTGTGTGTATGTGTGTATATGTATAAATACGTAGCTTATATGACTATAGATACACCTAGTTATGACGTGAAGCGACCGGTAATGCCTGTTGCCCCGTGAAAACGTGCAACTCTCTGTCATTTGATACACCGGCTGCGCCTACACCATATCTCTCGATTATTATGATGGAGTAAGTATGTGTGTGTGTGTGTGTGTTAATACGTAAATGATATTATATAGATAGAAAGCAAAAATTATTATTATTATTATTATTATTATTTTTTATTTTTTTTTCAATTTAAATCATATTATATAAATCTGAATACGTGTAAATTTTTTATTAAAATATTACTAATGTTAATCGTCGTATAGATATTAATATTTAAAATTATGTTTTAACAAATCTAATTATAAGATGAATAAAAATCGATAATTGTAAGTAGTATATATATGTATTATAAAATTTAAATGAGTGTGGGTGGTTGTATTATGCGAGTATTGTATTAAAATTTTATCCTTTATCATTTTAATATATTCTATCATATTTGTAAAATCAAATTGCACAAAGTATAATTTAAAACGTATATTTTAATATGCTTTATAATTTTTATAAAAATAAAATAGTTCTATATTATTAATACTTTTTATATGAATAGTTACGTAAATGTGTTGTATGCGTTGACAGTAAAAAAAAATAATAAAAATGATCTTGACAACGTTGGAACGTATTGTTAAATGAAATTTTTGTAAGTTAGATATCGAATAACGATTACAAGAAATACTATTTATCT